TAATAAATATGTTAATTGGCTTGTACATTTCATTGTAAATAATCAATAAACATTTGGGTTGTTTCAAATTCCTTGCTGTTACAAACAATGCTAAAATGAACATTCTTGTAAAAATACATCTTTGGACAATTGTGCAAGTATCTTAGCAAAACTAACTTCTATGAGTAGATTTTCTGACTTCAATTGTATGGACATTTTGGGGCTGGGGATTTAGCTCAGCGGCAAAAGCGCCTGCCTGGCAACCGGAAGGTCATGAGTTCAGTTCCCGGTACCGGAGAAAAACAAAACAAAACAAAAAAAAAGTATGGACATTTCTATTTTAATAATGTCTAACAAATTGACCTCCAAATAAACTACAGAAGATTTCAGTTACTTCAAGAATATAGAATAATATTTGGTCTCCACATCTCAGCTCCACTGGGTGGAAATTAGCCATGTGTCTTCTTTAATGTGCTCATCTAGTAAGTGAAAGTGCATAGAATAACATTGTTAACTGAATTTGTATTTGTTTGCAATTGAGACCTTTGCAATTGAGACACTTTGCAATTGAGACACTTTGCAATTGAGACACTTTGCAATTGAGACCTTTTTACAGATGGCTTTTGACAACTTATTCTTTTCTGTGAACTTACTCATTCTTCTATAACATCAATCAAATTGTCTTTTTTATTTGTAAGAAGTTTCTGAAAACTAGAGCAATTAGCTATTTGGCTCTCGTGTGTTATAAATGTGGCATTATGGTTTTGAGTTTTGTCTACGGCTGTCTATGATTGCATGTAAATATATGTGTTTTTTTGTATAAATTTCAAGGTTTTATGCTTGAAATCACCATGCTTCTATTTTTTCCTGTTTTAATTTTTGGTTTCACGTCATTGTAAGAACGCAATTTCCATCCACAATATTATAAATATACTCATGTTTCACATACTTTTGTGGGGATTTTGATTATATTTAAATATTTTATCCACTTAACTGTAGTGTAAGCAATAAAATAGGAATTCAGCTTTGTTTTTCCAAGTGACAAATTGCTTCTTTCAGTATCATCTATGTAATAATCTACCTTTCTCCACTTATTTTAAATGCAAATATGCATGTGATAAGGGATAGATGGGTAGCTGGTAGCTAGCTAGAGATAGATGATGGATAGATCAATAGGTAGATAGATGGATAGATGATAGATAGATAGATAGATAGATAGATAGATAGATAATAGATAGACAATAGATAATAGATAGATAGATAGATAGATGATACATTGATTGATTTTAGGCTCTTAGTTCTATTCTAATAATGCGGCTCTTCCTGTGTGTCAGCCACATATTCTATTAATCTCTGAAGAATCACTTATGTTTGTTATTTTTCTGCTCTGTGCTCCTGTACACTTTTCTCCCAGTCAGGCCTGCTCTCCCTGCTGTACCCATCGTCACTGTCTCCAGGTTAATTGTTAACTCCTCTGGGACACTTACTTTAATGCCCAGCGCTACACTGGCACCTTGCCTTCCTCAGCACACCCACTCCTGGGCTCTGCCAGGTATACAAAACTATATGGACATTGCCTGTTCATGTACACGCCTCTCTACTAAACAAGAAGTCCTTTAGGGTGCCTTCTGTCTCTTTCTTTACCGTATTATCTAAAGCAGTATAGACTTTAATTAGTGTTTCCTGAGAAAATGAATCAAAAGCAAAACAAGCCAGAGTGCATTTTTTCTCAACGAGGTTCCACAAGAGGCCATTCTCACTCTTAATTTCATTCTTAATTTAGTCTTGGTTGCAAGCAATTTCCGAGCAGATGATCCCTCCAAAAACAGCAACATGTGGAAAAATTAGAAGAGAGAAAAGGAAACCACCAGTAAGGAATGAGTTAATGAACTGGGGGAAGCTGAGTCTTGCTCCAGCTGGGGTTCTGTTGAGAAATTCTGGAAGTTACTGTGGAACTACCCACAACTGCTCGCTCTGCAGAATGGAGAAATCACGGTGCTTATCCACAGACTCCGCTAAGTCCAAGGTTATAAACTTTCAGCTTGTGGCTGTGTACAAACTCCAAGCAAGCACACATGGAAGCAGAAGAGATGTGGGGCACAGGAGCAGATAGGAAGAGACCCCAAAGTGGGGAGCAGTCAGCATACAGGTGAACACAGAGGAAGCCAAGGGCATAGGTACAGCATCTGCTACTGTTGCCCACCAGCAGCCTGAGTGTATATAAACCAAGACTGGATGTGAGCTATTTAAATATTCCTTATGGGCAACAAGAACTGTTTTCTAGTCCCTTCAGTGAATGAAAGGGCCATTGGCATAAATATTCTATTATTCTATTTAGTGGCATGGACCAAAACAGCCTGCAAAGGAAAGCTGCATGTTTTGCGTGTTCTGTTCTCAATAATAAATAATTTTCATGTTGTAAAATATACCTTTGCTCAGACAGGTCAGACTATAAAATTTATTTTATTATGATGATGTTTAGTTGCACATCTTTGCCTGTGTAGCCTCTTAGCCATGGATGTCCATTATGAGGCCCGTTGTAATGTAGTGCACATCTATAACTACAGCATCAATGATTTGAAGACATTTGGGGGATGAACTTATTTCTATGAGAATAAGTACCAACGTATATATGACTTCTATCCAGTGCTTCTTCTGTGCAGAACTCCCTGCCGGCCTCTAGGCATTCATGGAAGAAGGGCTGCACAGTCTAAAGAAACTGACTGCTTACCACCTAAGTAACAGAAATTATATATTTTATAAAAATTGGCTCTGTACTTGTTCAAAAGATGCAAAAATGAATGTATTCTAAAAAAAATCCTGGAAGAAGTGGGTTTTGTTTGTTTGTTTGTTTGTTTTTTGGTTTTATTCTCTGGTACCAGGAACCAAACTCACAACCTTGCGCTTGCCAGGCAGGCGCTTTGCCGCTGAGCTAAATCCCCAACCCCTAGAAGTGGGTTTTGATACAGATGTTCAAGATCATTGAAAATGGACCGATGTTCAAAATAATATTTAAATATTTAAAAGCACACAATAGTCAAGAATTGATAGAAAAGGTTAGTGAATCGAAAGTCTGCAAGCATGTATCCGTGTAATGGAGCATGTTGAAAATGCCTGGTTTTATCACGGTACACTCTTTGCTCTAACCTGGAACATTTTCAAGCTCTTCTTTACTAATTGCTATTTTCCTTTGAGGATCAGCTAAAGTGTCTTCTGCTATTATCACTGACAAGTATAAATAATTATCAATAATTTGTTGACTTTAAACAACACAAATGTATCATCTTTTAGTTTTGGAGGCCAGAAGCCAAACATGGATCCCACTGGGCTGAAATCAGAGTGTCAGTAGGGTTGCGTTCCTCCTGGAGGTCTAGGGAGGAATCCCTTTTATAACCTTTCACAGCTTCTAGAGGCTGGATGTGTCCCTTGGCTGAGAACTCTGTCGATTTACTTCCTTATCTCTACTACTACCCTCATTTCTCTACCTGGCTTCACTCTACTTCCCCCCTCTGATTAAGGTCTCATGGTTACACTCAGTCTGCCCAAATAATCTCCCCATCCCAAAATTCCTAATCATCTTTGTTAAGTCCCTCTTGCCACATAGGGAAACACATCCACAAGGTCCACAGATTAAGATGTGGAGCTCCTTAGAGGACCACTCTTCAGCCTACTGTACTTCCTCTTCTAATTTTCTTTCTTACCTGTTAAATTAGAATTAGTTTCACTTTCTCTGGGTCAGTGTAGAATGATTCGGATAGCTCTGAAATGGTAATTTTTAAATTTGGTTAATCTTTCTACTCTTACTATTGTTTTCTTGCTCACAAAACTGTGTATTTTATCTATGCAATCATACAGCCCTGAATCGGGAGCCCTAACTCCACTGGTGTTGCTGGTGGAAAAGAGAAGAGGAAAGAGCCAGATTCCTGGCCCAAAACTCTGCTCTACCACCGGTTAGTGAGAAACTGCCCCAGTTTCTCAGTTTCTACAGTTGTAGCATAGGAATGATTATGGCATACGCCACAACTGGCATGCACATTATTGTCACCATAAGTGACATACACTTATGGTATTAATGAAATATATAGAAATTGTCAAAAATAATGACTGGCATAAAATAGTCCCTCAAAACTATAAATTTATTTTCTCCCTCTTGTGAAATTATAAAAATTGGAGATGGTAGATAAAATCACAACACAGTCACTCAATGAGTTACTGATGCTTTTATCCTTTTCTTCATAATCTGTGTTAACTACAACATTTTAAAGAAGTGAAGGGCCAGTGACATAGCTCAGCAGCACAAGTGCCTGCCTGGCAAGCACAAGGTCCTGAGTTCAATTCCCGGTACAAAAAATAAAGCAAAGAAGTCAGAGTGAAGAAAATGTTACAAAGTGGAAAGTGTTATTTTTGTTCTGATAAGCTGAACAGGTGCAGGCAGGCTCAGTATGTCAGAGGATTAAAAATATATAAAGTCAACATTATTTCAGTGGATACATTTTATTGGTTATGACGTTGAAATAATAGTATTAATAACTGCAGTCTTTTTAACATTTCAAAGTGTTTCCAGATATATTCTCATGGTATTGATTTGAGTCAGTATCTGGCAATCTAATGACTGTCTGATTACTTAGGCTTCCTGGATTATTACCATCCTTGTCACACAATGGCATTTTAGTCATTTATTTCTTAACATCTTCAAACATTATCCAATTGTTTCCCAGGTAAATTGAGCTTTTGCTAAACAAAAGCTTATAGCAAATAAATAGAAACTTGTGGAATCATCTTCCTCTGCCATAAATGAAGCAACAGCAGAGTGGTACAGCCTATTAGCTGTTCTAAGTTCCTCATTAGGTTTTACTTTTGCAAACGCACCGTTTAACTTCCTACATTCTGTAAGCTGCATTATGAACAACATGTCCGGCAGCCACGTTTGCTGTAATTTTTTAAATATGTGGAAAAAAAGCAAGATATCGACCATGTACTACCTTAACCAAGATGCCAAATTATCTAACTTGTTTCTCCAGGCCAGCAGCCCCACAACAGGGACAGCTCCCAGGAGCCAGTCAAGGTTGTCTGTCTGTCCGTCCACTCAGGACATCTGTAGGTAAGTGCTGAGCAAATGATCCTATTCAATATCCTTTAGACCAGTGTTTCAATTTTTGTGTTATATGCCTGGAATGTGTGCCTCATGCTTTTGCTTTGTATTGCCCATGGAGAATTTATACTTGGCTCAGTTGTTTTCCCCATTAGTTCATTTTCTTCGGTTGATCTTTGTTTACCAACTTCTGGTCATACTATCATTTTCATCATGCTCTCTCTCCCCATCTTTCCGTGACTTTCCTCTCCATTCCCACCTCCTGTCCTTTGCCTGCTGCTTTGTCTAGATCTTCCATCTTGCATGACATGTCAGAAGATGCATTTGAGCACTGTAGCCCTGTCATGGTGCTGAGTCCCGCTAAAGATTCTTGTAAGAAACCAGTAAAACAGAAGCCTAGGAGGAGAAGGATGGCCTCCGAGAGGTATGAGCATTCAGAAGAGCAGATAAAAGGCAGAAAAAAGGATTTCCACCTCCAGATCTCAAGCCCCAGCTGGAGGGAACTTTACACAGATTCTTCAGATTCATCTTCCACAGATGAGAGTCACTGGATTCAGGCCAGAAGGAGAGCCCAGGTTAAATTCAGACTGTCACGAAGAAGGAGAAACAATAATAAATCATGTGGAAGTTTGGCTGGGTCTTCCACTTCTAAAGGAATTGAGCTTATTGATTTGGGATCCAAAGGTAAGCAGCAACAGGAGCTGGTGGAATGTGAGAGTTGCTCTTTAAACCTCTGCAGAGGAAAAGTCGTAAGGTACCACGAATGCAGTGCTTCCCTGCCAGGAGGATCCTTTGAGATGAAGAGACTGTCAAGGAACCAAGAGGGAAACAAAGGCAGATTCTGCCCCCAAGATTCTAAGCTCTTGCACAGTCTCAGGCAAAATGAAACAGTCAAGAAGAGACTTTCAGAAGCGGATTCCAGCACTGAAATAGCGGCGGTCAGAGAAGGTGGCAAGTATGAGGACAATTCAGGGCTCCAGGTGCATAGCCCGATTCCGAAGCCTCCCGCTGCCTATGATGATGGGTCTGATCATGTAGAAGTCTGCAGGTCAGTCACTACAGAGAAGGGCTTGATGTCAGACAGAGGTATTTCTTCCTGCTGTGAGTTCTATGTGTGTTTGTAGCCTACCCTCAAATCATAACAGTTATTCATACTACTACTTTTCTGATTGACATTGGAGAAAAATAATGCAGCAGTGTTCATGAGTTTGATGGCTGTTGTAGAATAGAATTGGATCTCTTCCTCTGTCTGTTGTATTAAATAATGACTTACCCCGAAAAAGGAACTGAGAAAATAGTTTGAGTCTTGAACACATCCTACTTCAGAAAATAGCAGTGGATGAAATATGAGCGAGAGTGTGTGAGACCTTTGATTATTTAATGCAGATTTGGTGAACAGTTAACTCTCCAACAGAAAGCTATTCAAGGCTGATGGAGCTCCTTAAGGTCAGATTTTTGTATTGTAAAAATAAAAGTCTCCTCTGCAGTAGGCTGCAATTTGTTCTCCAGTTGTCCGACTCAGCGGGGTAACTTTAGGTTGAAAGGACACAAAAACAGATCACAGATATATTAATGGGTGTGCTGGAGCCTTCAGAGAAGGAGACTCATTATATTATTGATCATCATAGTATTGACGATTATTTATCAATATATGTTGTATTGATTACCATACATGGAAAGATTTCAGCATGTAGACGTTTCATAATGAGATCACTTTCTTGTAATTTTTACACAAAGTCATATATATTGAAAATAGCTTAATGTTAAAAGAATTGTAGGACTATCCATGCTAATAGGAATAAATGGGGTAATTTTAAAGAAAATGTGCATTTTAAATTTTTCATGTTACTCCCAAAGATTTAAGCTGAAGTCTAGTTGAGAACAAGTGGAGATTGTTGTTGCACAATGCTCAATGGCGAGGATTTGTCTCTATAAAAGTTGAAGTGAAAAGTTGAATCACATGACCCAGAGAAGGTGTCCTTGTCTACTCAAGGCAGGAGAAAGAAGAAGAATTAAGGCCTGGATGTAATAACATTAGAATGGTTTGTTTCTTTGGAAATTTTAAAAGGTACTCAGGCATAAAATTCTTATCCATTCATTCTGTCAAGCATTTATTATGCGTCAGGCTTTGTTCTAGGCATCAAAAATATTACAGTGTATAATATTTGGATAATTTCAGACGTGACAGAGCTTGTAGTCTGATGGGGAACACAAGACACCAAACAATTTTACAGTGACTATATATGTTTATAATCACAGCAGTGCAACTTGGGAGCACATCACAAGGAAACTTAACTCATTCTAGAAATCAGAGAGGAATTCTTATGAGAAGGTAGCAAGCACACTGATGCTCACAGGATGGCAGGGATTAATCAAGGAAAGAAGCAGGAAACCCATCAAGTCACACAGTGCTGCTAGCAGGAAGGGAGAAGAAGGAAGGAGTTGACAGTCCAGGAAATTGAGGAGCTGCTGTGGCCAGGATGTGGTGGGGGTGGGACCGCAGAGCTAAGGATGGGATAGTGGAGTGGGCAGACTGCGTGGGGCCATGTACGCCATGCCAGGGGACTGAAACAAGATTTCATAGTAAAGAGACACCATTTAATTTCTACACTAATGAAAAGGTTTTATAATCTTTCAAATATGATTTGTGTGGATTTGTGGATGAAACATTTTTTTCTAGTTTAAACTGAATTCCTCACTTGCAGGCATCTGTTGTCATTTTCCAGCTCAACTTGTAACATGATTTGGTAAAAGACTACCAAGGATGCAGCTTCACATTCAATGGTAATTGGGGGGGAAAACAATGCTTATGATTGAAGTCACAGTAACTAGTTCTCCTACCTTACAAGTCCTAGTTAGTACGAGCATTTATAAGGACAAGATATTTAATGTAGATGTCTATTAATGCAAGTGGGATCAGTGGTCCCATGCCTTTCATCTTCTGCTATGGATTATAATCAGAAGAAACCACCGACATGAATGCTGTTGAAAACATATTATACTAGACACTAAATATAAGAAGTGGCAAAATATTTTTTTCTTTAAGTGGCCTATTATCTAAGTGGGAGCAATTAAGACAAAAATTTAAGATAGGAATGTAAGAAGAGGAATAAAGCAGGAATCTCAAGAAAAGAAAAATGTCACAGAGCCAATATGATCCCGGAACCACTTCCGAAGATGTGGGACCAGGGCTGAGCAACAAAGTTATTTAAATTAACAGAGATGCATGGATGTATTCCAGACAGGACTCAGGGAGGAGACCATTAGTCCAGACAAGCTAAGCAGACTGTACTTAACAAATGTTCATGAATTTCTGTGGCTAGGTTGGAAGGTTTATGTACACTGATAACAGTTAACTGTTTGAGTCATTTGGAAGAAAACATTATATCATTCCAAGTTGCTTATTCAAATCCATAAGTTTGTGTTTACTTATAGTCGCACTGACCTTCTTGGGTTCCAAATGTTTGCCATCAAAGCTGAGGGTAAGTTGGAGAGACTGTGCCTCCCAGCCCATCCTCAATCAGAGAACATATATGATTGTCTCTCTTCTCCACCAAGGTCCTGTGTAATGTTCCTTTAAGAACGCAGTGGGTTCCCCTGCAAACAAATAGCACTTATGAAAAGCCTTTAGTAAATAAAGTCACTTTGACCAAGAGTCATAAACATAGAGCAGCCACTGTGTGCCAGGGCATGTGTTGAGAAAGGAACCTAAATTCAGGAGTCGTGGGTGGAAGTACTTCCCATGGGTTAAGCAAGATGCCTGATAACAGGTAATGGAAGAGAGGAACAAAGGGCATATTGGCAATCCACCAGGTAAATAGGAACAGTCTTTGTGGCTGGATTTGCTCCAAGCATACGACAAAGGTGTCAAGGCAAACTCCAAACCTTGAAACTCGGGAGGCAGGAAATGCTGCTGTTATTGACAGACACGAGAGGTCAGAGGCCAGCTGCTGGAGGAAGGACGATGCCTTTAATTATAAGCAGCCTGTTTGTGATTACAATGACACTCTGGTGTCAGCTTTCCAGCAGACAATACCAGACATGTTACTGAAACACAGGAGAGCACACAGAGCCAAGGACATATAATTCTTTGTGAATTTTACACAGTGTATCACTGAACACATGCATGTGTGTCATCGCTTACACTAACATGAGGCATTAACACAGAGTAGAGCTGGTAAGCAGGGAAAGCCTCTCAAGGTCAGGGAGAATGGAGAGATTTGGTAATCATTCTTGGAGAGGTAACAGTGACATGTGACAGGTAAACTAAATCTCTGCAAGATATCATAACAGTTAAAAGAAAAGCCACCTAACAGCTACTGTGCGGGCACCAGAGTCCCCCACACGGGGAGGAAGATGACCGTGAGAGAAGTAGCAATTGCCTGCGGACTTGCACTCCTGATGCTTCAGACATGCATAGGCAGTACCAGTCTCAGCCACAACCACAAAGCAGAAGAAGCTCTTCAGCGCTTCCTCCTTTTCTGTTCCTGGCATTTAGTCCCCACATGAGGCTATATCCTCTTTCACGCTCTCATCTCAGCCTGATCCAGAAGACAGGTCTGTATTCACTAATTATAGCTTGGGCTTTAAGTCACTGTTCATTGTACCCATGGTTATATATAGTAAGAAAGTCTTTACTTTTTTAACATAAAAATTATATTGAAAAGAAAAATCATCTTGTGTTAGCCTTTCATTGAGACTTTTCAGTAAGCTTTCAGTGGCCCTCAGTGGAAGGTTCACAGTCTTTAATGTGCTTGGTAAATCCTGCATGATCTCTCTATCAGACTTGGTTTTCTAGCTTCAATACCCTTCTTTAACTCTGACCTCCTTCTGCTGGTCTGCTTCCCCTTCCCTGAAAGCGTCCAGGTCTCTGCTTCTCATGACCTAGATTGACATCACATTGTCCCTTCTGACCCTCACCAGACTAATTCCCAGTGGTTCTTTCTCAATTTAGGTGTCATTTCTTCTGGGAAACCGTCTTGACCTCCTAACCAACCCTCAGGCTCCTTGGCAATCACTTCCTTAGCACGATTTTAATTGCTAAAACATAACTATTTTTTCCTATTAACTGTCAGATTTGTTCATTGCCATATCTGAAAGAACTGGAACAGTACGTGCTCAAACTAGATATATTTTAGGAAAAAGGTATTTTTCTAATGTGTTCATGATTAATGTGCTAAATCATACCACTATGTGTTGGATTACTTCACCCACTTGCAGAGCAAACTGGTGAAGAATATTCTTCTTTTAATTTTTTTATTTTAAAGAGACAAAAAAACAGTAAAAACAATGCAGAATTTAAAAACAAGAAGATAGGAATTTAGCAATGGTTGTATTGCATATTTTTATCTTCCAATAGTTGCTCAGATTACCAGGTGAAGGATGTTCTAATTACATGGTTCTAAAACCTTGGTAGACGTCATCAACCAGAGGCCTTGTTAAATTACAGGTCACTGCAAAACCCTAGAGTTTCCCTTACACGGTAGTTAGGCTCATGAACTATTATTTCTAAAATGTTCCCTGGTGACACTGATGTCTCTGATATAAGAACAATGCCTTGAGAAAAACTGTTCTATGCTACAAATTCTTTTCATGCTTTAGGTGGGAAGAAAAAGGAACAAAAGGATGAGATTGAAAGCTAAATTATGAATATCCATAGTTCCCTTTTCCATTCCCTGGAATGCTGACGTGTAACGTGGCTAGATTCCTTTCCTGTATGTTATACCAGTGTAGTGTGTGTCATGTCATTAAAGCTGTACACGGACACAGAACCGTCTCCACCAGGAACCCAGCTGTCATGGTTTGGCTCTTGCTTCTACCTAAACCCACTTCCTCTTCCCAACTACCCCCATTTCTATGGGTGAGTCCACAAATTCTCTGAATTTTCAGTTTTTGATGTTTGTTCCTGCTACTTTGGAGGTGGTCAGTCTCTAGCAAAATCCTGTCATTTTACCCTCAAGAAATTTCTTCTGATCTGTGCCTTCCTTCTCTTTCTTACCATTCCACTGTGGCCCTTCTTGACTTTTGTGTCTGTCTCCACACCTACGC